TAGGAGAGAGAAAGGAGGCGATCGAGCTTGCGACGAGGCTGATAGCAATCTCACAGCTCACTGAACGTCAACTTAAAATTCAGTTTTAATACACACTCCCCCATCTTTGTTTGCCGCAAGTCAGATATTTATCTAAATAAGTAAATAGATTCATAAATAAATACATTTAGTTAAGCAAGTGCAACTTCCTGTAAATGAAACTGGGTGAGGTTTGATAAATTGGTGGGCAACCGTGTACTATGTTGACTCGTAGTCAGGTCTTCAGTAAGATGTTTGGACTGTGCAAATGGTGCCAAAAAGTGATTGTAAACTGTTATAAATGACCTTTTGGCCTCTAATGTGTCAAATATGTGCCAAACATATCTCTCGTGAATGGCATCCAATCATTTTCAGCCCGAAAGAACATTCCACTTTTTGTGGCTTTTATATATCCATTATTTGTGCAGGTAAAAAAGTCTCATTGACATTAAAAGTGTCTTTTTTCAAAAACCGCACCAAACACAACATCACTTTTATATAAAGATATTATAGCCAGAAAGGACTGGATTGATCATTATAGAATACAGAGTAGGCAAAATGACGCAGAGTCATGAAGATTTTTGCAAAACAGTCTTGACTTACAAACAAAAGCAAAAGTGTAAGACATAAAAATCACAGACAATCATTTCTTGGAACAACACCTGAAACGTCTTGTGCATTGGATGATTTCTTTTAAACTGAATGAAGCGTGGGCTACAAAAGACCCAAGGACTCTAAACAAGGAATTCAAAAGGACCCCTCATTATGCAAACTCTTAAAACGGTTCGCTTATCTGTTTGGGCTGATTCACTTGACAAGCATCACCATCATCACAAGAATATCTCCATTTTTATTTCTGGTTTCCCATTATGTCATATTTTGGTGTTGAGCTCAACCTTACTCAGACGGTTTTGCCTCGGAGAGGGACACATTCATGCGACAATACACCCCGAGGTCACCACAGATTAACATTAGTGGCTGTAGAGCCATCAATTTAGCTAACAGCAACATGGACCGCTTGTTCCCTCGAGTCCTCATCAACAGAGACATGTGCATCTCCATGCTCGTTTGATTGATTGCCCTTTTCGCTGGAATGTGTGGATTTCATTTGATAGCACCTTGCTCGATTTTGACATCAGATTACACCAAAAAAAAAAAAGACATCCGATGTCGAATGCGTCTTAAAGAGGTGGGTGTATTTTTATAGTTTGTGAAGGAAGGGTAGCTGTCTTCAAACTACAAAAAACAAAATAACAACAAACAAACAAAATCCGTTTCTCTTTGGAAGGTCATGGATTGCATCTCAATCGGACAGTCACCAATAACCAATAGCCTGCTGAAGGTTGACTTCGGTGGGGAGTGGTGCCAGTTGCTGGGGAGGCGCTGACCTTGGTGCTGAAGTTTAGTTTTTGCTGATCTCCACCTTTATATGTGGACCATATAGATAAAGAGGATACTGTTGCAAACTGCACGTCAGTGAGCCATAATCCGGAGCATTCTCACATGATGTGAGTCTCAGAAAGCCTCCTTATGAAATCGGTGAGAATCAGTGAGAGCTTGTATTTTTATTGTGAAATTTTGTGATCATGATTTAAAAATTTCAGGTAAAATAAGTTATTAAAAACAGATTAACCTTTTGCTCTACGTGGCTGTAGAGATATATAAATGTAGCCTATTTAATGCGGTTATTATGGCGTACACTTTGTAAGTCCGTCCAAAAATTAGACAAAAGGAGTTTAATCACTAAACGATACCAGCTATTGTCATTTGGCTGGCGGCTTTAGTGAGCTGAGAGTGATGGTGTTTTACTTGTGGGGTTAATAAGGCCATCGGGGAAAAGACGCATGATTGTACTTTGGCTGGAGACGTGAGATCCTCGGAAACCTGCGCGCTTCCAGCCCGCACGTCACTGTCCTGACATCAGCACAGAGCTTAAATACCAGCAAAAACAGGCACACCTGTTGTGGTTATGCCTGGATCCAAACATAGTGCTGGAACACAACATACGTTTCACTGCTGTGTGCTTTATGCGTTTATGAGCACAAGATTCCACGCAATGTGATTTTTTTTTCCTCTTCATTTTTTTGGAGAAGCACTTTGTGTTTTCAGAGCGACTTTTCTGAAGGTCACTGAAAGTCCTTCGTGCTTTAATCTTCGTGCATTGTTACTGCTTTTTTGTTTTGTTTAATAATGATCAATCACACTGCCGCGTTTGAAGAACTGGACACAAACGTTTCTGAGCCGTCACCGCTTCTCTCGCTTAACCAGAGCACTTTCCCTGCGCTTCGGCTCGAGTACAAGTCTCTGATCATTTCAGCCACCATGTTCGCCGTGGGCGTCCTGGGAAACCTCATCGCCATAGTGGTGCTGTGTGTCTCCAAAAAAGAACAGAAGGAAACCACTTTCTACACGCTGGTCTGCGGTATGGCCATCACGGACCTGTTGGGGACGTGCTTCACGAGCCCGGTGGTAATCGCCACGTACGTGTCTAGCCGGTGGCCAGGGGGAGCGCTGCTCTGCCACTTCTTTTCCTTTTCCATGCTTTTCTTCGGCTCCGCCGGCATGTCCATATTGTGCGCTATGGCTGTGGAGCGATACTTGGCCATAAATCACGCGTATTTTTACTCCCAGCACATAGACCGAACCATGGCGCGGTTTGCGCTCCTGGTCACCTACCTGGCGAACATCGTGCTGTGTATTATGCCCAGTTTTGGATTCGGACAGCACGTTAGCCAAATCCCCGGGACTTGGTGCTTTCTCGACTGGAGAGCAATGGATCCGCTGGGAGCTTGCTACTCGTTTCTGTACGGCGGCGTGATGATTATATTGATCGCAGTGACTGTTTTGTGTAACTTGGCGGTGTGCAGGACGTTGGTGGGCATGAACCAGAGGACAGGAATAGTCAGGACTGAGCTGTGTGAGCAGGGATGCTCCCGTCGACGCTTCCCTCGGCTGCCTTCGGTCACTTCTGCGGCAGAGATCCAAATGTTCTGGCTTATGATCTTGATGACCATCGTATTCCTGGTCTGCTCTATCCCATTAGTGGTAAGGACAACAGACTATTTGTTTCTATTTGTTCTCTTATGTCTGCACCCAGTGCACATTCGGTTACTGGTCTTAGCTTTATTTGATATCATAACTCAGATATCTTCTGTCATGCTTTTGTCTCACAGGTGCGAATCTTTGTTAACCAACTATATGGCCCAGCTTACATTTCTGCCGGGATGAAGCCCGACTATCGCAGCGACCTGTTGGCAGTCCGCTTCGCCTCGTTCAATCCCATATTAGACCCCTGGGTGTACATATTGTGTCGCAAAAACCTGCTATTGAAGGGCTGCGAGAAGCTAAAGAGAACAGTTAACAGGGTCAGGGATGGAGGCGGCGACAACATCGGCTGGGCAGAGGGTCAAAACTCTCCACAGTCTTTAAACAGCACCGATACCAGTTACGCTTCCATACGCACACCCAGCTACAGAAACGACCGGGACCACCACGGACCCATCCAGAATAAATCTTTTACAGACTTTGCCCTGAGACAAGCGTGGGAGTACGACACGGCCCGGGTCAGCTTTCACCCGTTCAGCGTCGAATCGACCGCGATCCTCGGCTGTGATGACGAGGTGGAGGGTAACTCCAAACAGGAGGTAGCCAAGGCATCTCCAGGGCGCAGCGTAACGCCGCTGCTTCCTGCGCACATAAGGAGAATGGACATCGTTACCTGCACGTTCAGCACACCGAGCTCCTGTGAGTCTGCGAAGTGTCTCTGAGTGAAGTTCACGAACTCCCGACAGCAGTTTTCAAGCACCTCGGCCAAACCGGGGAAGATCTCCGAACTGTGACTTAATCACGTTTGATGGGTTTAATCCGCCAAGTGTCACATCGTGTAAAATAATATCCAGTAACAACTGCAGCAGAAATCAGCACGTCACCATTAACAGCAGGTAACAGTTTTCATATGGTATAACGTGAGCTGAAAACTAGCAAAGTGCTTCAGGTTTGATCCACGTGATCCAACGCAGCAGTTCAACAGTAGATTGAGAACTGAAATGGATCTGAAGAACCACGTCAGTTCCAAAGAATCACAGAGACCAATCATTTACTTCTTCATGCTGCTTAACCTAAAAAAAAAAAAGTTTAGCCAGAACAGTATATGGTAGATTTTTTTTTTAAATGAAAGAAATTTCCAAACTTGGAAATTTAAATATATTCATACCCCGTGGGTACAAATTAAGTGCGTGTCATTGTCATTTCATGGGTTTAAAACTTTTTAAATATGCAGCGCCCTTACATGTGTTGTTACACTACATTTCTTTTAGGTGGTGTAATTTATTTAGTTATTTATTTTTTCTACATGCTGCCAACTCGCTCAGTGCCATGTAACAGTGCTGCATGATGCAGGTATGGAGGACCACGAATGTCTCTCGTGTTTTGATAACTGCTGTTGTAAAAAGCAAATGTGATCAAATCTTATTTTAAAATAAAGAAGAAGAAAAAAACCCTGTTCCCCTCACCTGTGTGAGCTCAGGTGCTTACTGGATGTGTTATTTGGTCTGTGCAGATAAATAAAGGCAGCGAAATCACCGGTTTTACCTGTTCTGCTGAATAAAGAACAATAAGGTTTTTAAAGCAGACATCACCAGCTGGCAGCAGACAGGTGGCGGGACAGCAAGTTCCTCTCGCGTCAAAACGAGCATTGCAGTTCGCTTTAGATTCTAGTCCAGCAGGTGGCGCTACAGGATAATTCATCAGCAAATTAAGTTGTTGTGGCGTTAGTTGCACAGATAACTGGACAGAATAGTCTGAATAATAGGTGTACTAACATGATGTATATTATAAAAAAAACTTTATTTCCTTAGAGGATAATAACATACAAAAATAAAGGAAGCTTTATAATCATCATAATAACAATAATAATAATATTAATAATAATAATAATAATAATAATAATAATAATAATAAGGACAGAGCGACATAGTGAGAGTATGAATGAGAACTAAAAATCACCTTCAAGGTCTTGTCGTCTAGATTAGGGATGCACGAGTTCTAAAATTCTGGGTCGGTAACAATTTAACTGATAGCTGGTAAAAAAAATAAAATAAAATTCAAACAAAGTTATTGCATTATAAAACATGACTTTCAGTTCATATCTGAGAGCATTTAGTCAGGACAAATTGCTGGGACTGATAGGACACAAAACATGGCCACTGGTAAATATGTTAGTTGGTCAAAGGCTGATATCAGTCATCAAGGCTGGGGTTACTCTGAGGACACATCGAGAAACTGTCTGAAGTTGAGTGTTTGGCTCACTGGGATTAGTTGTTCATATAATAACTTCAGTATTTAGTGTTTAAAACTGAGCATCCACCAATGTAACAGCAAAGGAAAACCATATTTGATCCTCTTCACTACACACTGTACATACAATGCAGTATGTATTAAAGTTTAAATGACTATTTCCAGCACAAAGGTGACCACAAACACAGATATCTCACCAGACTCAATTATGTTAGATGCTCTCAAAGTAAACAACATTCAATATTTATCGGTTCTTCCACATTGTTTCAATGTTGGTCCATTTTTGCCCAATATCTGTTAGTCTGGGATGAAAAGTAAATAAGAATTTGACCTCTTGGATATTGTTTTGCTCAATAGAAAAAAAAATATCAATAACCAGATTTTAGAAATCCAATCTACTTCTGCCTAGAAGAAACTGTTTAGCCAAAGTTTGACTTTCTGCGCTGGGTAAGTGTGAAAATCAGCATCTGGAAAAGAAAGAAAATGTTGTACTGTATGCGAGCTCAAGTAACTGTCGACATGAAAAGTGAATCTTGGCAATAAATAGATATTATCTACAACAGAGTTCATAAAAACAGCTCTCATATGAAGCCATAATAAATAAATAATAATTTATCCAAAATAAATATACTTTACTTTTATACAGTAATACATGAAGATGCATGGCATCCATCTGGCTGAGTTCACCTGAACATAGAGAAGACACAATGTAATGTCCCTGTCTGTGTGCGGGAAGAGAACGAATCTTGTGGAAACACCTGTTCTCACCGAGCATGAATGGTCTGAATGGAAACAAAGCGTCCTTTAACTGTAAATTTCCTTTACATCGCTTGAGCTTCAGCCTTCAGGTCTCGCCCATATGAAATCAAACACATGAAGAAGGTCTCTGTGTATAATAACCAGGCTTTAGTATCCTGCATTAATTACCGGTTATTCAGTTAAAAATAATTCACCCTTTAATGAGGGAACAGTATCCAGACTGGGGTTCCCTAATGACCTCACCCTCAGTCTCTTGATTTTGACCTTGGCCCTTAATGTCCAGCTGCAGCCAGCCCACTTCCTTCTCAGCAGGAAATGTATCAGGGAGGCAAACAAGTGGCCTCTTTTTCTTCTTCTTTTCTGTTTCTGTGTGAGACAGTGCCCCCATATGGCCAAATCCTAAACATGGGGCCTCACACACACACAGACACATACACTATCCAGCCAGAGGCTCTTCAGCGTTATTCATCCTGGGCACTTATCTGTTTGTACTCATCATTCAGCCCATGCACATGCAGCTGGCGGCAGAGAGCGATTGGATGGTTCTCCACGTGGTCTTGGCATCCATGAACGATACTGGCTCGTAGCGGTCGGGGCGGCAGCAGGGGTGGCTGCTGACCTTGCGGGCGGTGCGTCGAGGCAGCGAGCCATTCTCCAGCAGTGCTTTCAGTGCTAGGTCATAGTTTGTTCTTTCGGCCTGGCAGGAGCCTACACAGAACTTAAAAAGGACGATTTCATCCGAATCAAATCCCAGTCCTAGATCCCGAACCCTCATCTCTTTCTTCTCCACACGGCAGTGCCTGCTGCTCTGCTTCGGGTGTCCGTTTCTCCCCTTACCCTTTCTGTTCCCTGTTTCTGTCTCTTCTTCCTTTTCTTTCTTCTTCTTCTTTTTCTTCGATGATCCCTTGGGCTGAGGTTCTGTGGGATCAGAGGAGCGTGGTGATCGTCCTACCCAGCGACTGCTGGGATGGTCATCCACCTCATCCATTACAAAAGGGTCTGAAAGAGAAGGAAAGAAAGGAAATGGTAGGCTGGGAGTGAACACCAGTTTACAGAATTATGAGCAGTGGGGTATATTTCTTAAGTAATCTACAATCTCACGTCTGCATTTTAATATAAAATGACTTCACGTGTAAGTGTATTCAAAGGCCTGAGACACAAAGCAGGTTCAGACCTCTCTCAACCATCTTTCCATTCTAGTACTGCTCAGTCAAGCTTATGTGCTATGACTTATATAGTAAATGGACTGCACATGTATATATAGAGAGAGCTTTTTAGCGTTATCAGTCACTCAAAAACACTTTCCCAAGAGCTTCAGTACCATAAAGAGGGTGCCAAGTAGAGTAAGGGTCACTGTCTTCTTTCTGTTCCTTGTCCTCCACCATTTCAGGCAGCGTCACAGGAAGCTGCCTCTCCTCCTGGTTTCCCAGCAGGCCCACAGTGTGGCCTGAGTCTGATCCCACACCAGCACCACCTTTCATATGAGCTCCTTCCACCAGAGGCAGCAAAGCAATGAGCACCCACAGCAGCACCTAAGAAGACAGAGTATGTCAGCTGGTTCTTATTGGATATATATTCTCTTTCTAACACATAAAAAGATTTCCCTAAAATGTGTTATGTATAGTTAATAAAGTCCTCCGCTCTGGTCAGCTGGTTGTTGTGTTTGCAGCACTGCCAACAGGGAAAATTCAGAGTGCCCTCTGGTGGACAAACTATGCAAGGTGAACCCTCATAACATGGTTGAAGGTTCTTCTTCCAGCTGTTATTTACAGTTTAATTTTCATTTGTCAGTCAATATAAATACCGATACCAATAGATTGATAATAATATGAACTTACAGACAATTCGGCTCTAATTGTCAGTACCCTGAGTACCTCTGAAAGTAAACATCCCATACATTCTCCATAGGGATTTTGAGCCAGAATGTTGAGACTATCCAAAGCAGACCGAAACAATGACTGTGCTCCTGTAAACCACGAATCTGTTTTATCAACCTTATTTAAAAAAAAAACAAACATTTTTAATGGTGATGGCGTGGAAAAGAACTACTCTACCCACAATCATAAGCGGAAAAAGTGACATCTCTGCTTGTGGAAGCCGCTGTTACCGTGGAAACGTTTAAACCAGGTGTGGAGAACTACTGCAGGTTTTAGATCTCACCCTGGGTCAACACACCTGAATCAAACGATTAGTTCATTACCAGGCCTCTGGAGAA